GCGGGGGGTGGGGGGCGTGTGGGCCCCTGTGTTCAGTTTCGTGGGTCTGTTCAGGAGCTGCTCGGCCGCTGCCGGCCCCGCCATGACCCGGTGGGCTCGCCGAAACGGCGCTCCCGGCGAAAAGGCACTGGATGCGACCCCCTGGGAGGAGATGGTGAGCGGCTCCGAGGGGCGGGAGGGCTGCTCGGGCGCTCCACCGCTGAAGAAGGAGCAAGAGAAGAGGCAGAAGAAGAACCGAAAGAAAAAGGACTACCTGAACGAAGACGTTAACGGGTTTGCGGCGTACCTGAAGCAGAGCTCGCAGGGCAGGGAGGTGGCCGAAGCAGAGAGCGCCGAGTTGGAGAAGGAGCTGGCGATAGCCTTGAAGAAGGACAAGCGGCGGGAGGGTAGGAGGCTGAAGAGGCAAGAAATGAAGAAAAATGCCATGGTGAGTTTTGCCTCGAGTCGTGGGTGTTTGCGTGTCCGTGGCGGCTTGTTAAAAACTTGGGGAAGGCGCTGTGTGAAAATGCAGATTCCTTCTTCTCTGCCACGAGGTGGTTCAGTGAGGAGGCTGAGTGCCTTGCCTGCTAAAAGCATACCGTATGCTAAGGACGTTTCAAGTTAATAAAGTGAACTTAAGTGTCGCAGCTTTGAAACAAACAATGAATTTCAGCTTGAGTCTTAGACTTTAGCATGGCTGTTCCAGTTCAGCACTGTTCTTGCCACCCTTTGATGCATTACCTGCCCCTCTTGTCGCCTGGCTCAAACTAATTCGGTGCATTTCTAGAGGTAATTCTTCAGTACAATGTTCCTGCCGTTTTGAGGCCTCTTTCTGCAGGGTCTTCTGCTTGAGAATTGGAGTGAGATCTCCAGCAGACTCTAGTGAGACTGTCTAAAAGCGGTTATCTCAGCGCAAACTTACATGTTAAGCATAAATGTATACTTTATATATATAATTTATATAATATAATGTAAATCTGGGAACATAAAAGAGAGTCACTGCTAATTAATCTGAGATACCTAAATTCTTCATGAGTAAATTACAGGATACTCAGTTGTCAATGGGTGAATACCCCATATGCTGTGTTGTTGGTAAAAGGAGAAAAGTACCCGTAACAATACGGTTTAATGGCACAGACCGCTGACAGTTACTTTGTGACAGGACACAAAGTCTCTTTGGTCTAGCTGTTTTTCCCTGAGGAGAAATCTCTTCATGTTTCCCTTCTCAGAAGCCAGAAGGCAGAGTAGATTTTCTGATCTAGGCAGATGGGATTTTCTGCCATTCACAGAATCTTGTCTCTTTGTTAGAGTAGCCTCAAATCTCAACACTAGAGATACGTATCTGATAGTACCCTCAAGGTTTCAGCCAAGAGAAATAGTGGTCTAGTAAGTCTACTGGGCATAGGTAGACATTTAGTAATGTCACCTATAAGTGCTGTGTTTTGCTATGTGAACTGTCTATGAAAATCCATATAACTTAATTTTTATTTTCGAAGGTGTGTTTCCACTGTAGAGAACCTGGCCATGGTGTTGCTGACTGTCCTGCAGTACTTGAAAGTCAAGATATGGGTACAGGAGTCTGTTACCGGTGTGGATCCACAGAACATGACATCAGCAAATGCAGAGCAAAAATAGATCCAGCAGTTGGTGTGTCTCAGAAATTTGTGGGTTTTGAGATGCTTTGGTCTGAGTTTCTTGGCTACTGAAATAGGAGCTTTGTGTTCCGAGGAGATGGGTTAATATGTTTAAAGGAATACAGTGTTATAACAATGAACTGAACAGTGTAAGAGACAGTATAGTGTTTATAGCATAATAATGTACTAAGATATTGTCATTATAGTGTTTTCACAGTGGTCTGTGACTTCACGTAAAGTTTTTCATGTGTATGGGATTTTTCAGGGGCATTTCCATATGCAAAATGTTTCATCTGTGGTGAGATGGGGCATCTATCAAGGTCATGTCCCGATAATCCCAAGGGATTGTATGCCGAAGGTGAGTGTACTAACTCAGTAAAACCAAACCACATTTTTCATACTTAACGTGATGCTGGACAAAGTAACGTTGCAAGTGAATGAGGATCTGGCTAAAAGGAATTTCTGAATATCTTTTAGTCTTGGTAAAAGCAGGTTAATTCTGTGGAATTCAGTGTTAATATTGATTACCCAGGGATTTCTGTTTTAATTGTAAGCTTAGTGTTAATGAGATGCAAAGTGTGAGAACTTAGTTGTGCTTGCAGTATCAGGAGGCACACAAAGAAACAAAATCGTAATAGACTGTATGTATGTATGTAGTCAGTGTGTATTTAAATGTATGTATACCAAAGCATGTGGTGAAAACATACTCTCATACTATTGCTTAAGACTTTGGGGGGTATTCAGACAAAATAAGGGCTTTCACTAGAGAGAGCATGTCTTCAGGACTTCAGTCACATGAAGTGACTTTGATGAGAAATTTGATCTAAGTTTGAAGATTTCACTCAGATTCGGCTCTGCCTGATTTCTCTGTTGGCACTACCAAACAGCATTCTGTCTCCCAGTGCAAACGTGAGGTCTGACAAACTCAAAAGGTCATCTTACAGCACAGTTCAATTGGAAGAAAAGTCACTTTCAGTGTTTGGATTGTAAGTAGAGTTTATATTTCTTATCTTGGTACCTGCAGTTGGATTTACCTGCATTGCAGGAGCTCCTGTTAATTTCAGAAATTCCTTTGAGTATGAGTTTCAGAGTAATTCAGCTTGTTTCTCAGAATGAGAGCTTCCAGCAAGTCAGAAATACTCAGGATATGGTGACTAGAATTTGTAATATGTGATGCTTTGCAGAGCAATGTGATTGCAAACAGCTCTGTCTGTCTGAGACACAGAGACAGAGGGAGTCGAGTTTGCAGGCTTCCAAAGCTGGCTGCGTATCTGCTGCACCGTGTTACATTATTGTGCCAAGGAGTGCAGACCTGCCCATAGGGACATTTCCTCATCTTATTTACAGGTTGTTGCTACAGATAAGTAGGAGATTTTTCAATGTACATGTAAGAGCAAAACAGTGTAAGAGGGTTGTTTTGTGTTTGGGTTTTTTGTTATTTTGGGGGGTTGTGGTTGGTTGGTTGGTTGGGGTTTTTTTGGTTTGGTTTGGTTTTTTTGCTGTGGATAACAGCTTTCTCTCTTAACAGGTGGCAGCTGCAGACTTTGTGGCTCTGTGGAGCACTTCAGGAAAGACTGTCCAGAAAAACAGAATGCAGGTGAGATCCCGGGGAGTGTACAGAGTGGAGTTTGAGTGCACAGTTGAGTAACGTTTATTTACTGCTTTGCCTGACTTTGGTCAGGAAAAAAGGGTTTGAGAAGGGAACTTGCAAATAGCAAAGGTGACCTTCCTTTGAGAAGGAGTTCTTATATTAAGCGTTATGTGGAGGAGGCATTAAGTTGCAATGCAAAACTTGAAATTTCCATTAAAAAAAAAAAAATCTAGCTTGTGGATTTCTGAAGATAGTATGCGCTAATGTGTATGTTAGCCAGTATTTATGCTGCTGTTCACCACTTAGCAGCTGTAGAACAAAACTGGTTTCTTCTTTTGATGATTTCTGTGTGAAGTGGTGGAACTTGAGTCATCATGTCAGTTGCAGGGTGGTGGTACTGGCAGCTTCTAAGAGCTGTGTGTGCAGGCAAGTGTTCAAGTCGTTCAAGACAGGAGAGAAAGAGGAGACAGGAGATCTGTCCAGCTGGATTCACCAGCTAATAAGCTGCTTGCTTACGAGTCCTTCAGTTATCCGTGTGGGTGGAAAAAATTAAATTATATATAAAAATGTGCTAAAGAAGGCAAAAGTATCAAACAAAGGTTTGAAGCATGATTCTGTAGCTGAAGTGGTGACTTTCCTCTACTTCGTTTGTAGAAAATTTTGGTCAATAATAAGCCACTTCTGGGGAATTCGTGTAAGAAATATTTATGGAGGCAATAGAAGCCTATATTTTAGCCATTTTCTGTGTCTGATATATCTACTATATGTATGATATTGTTGCATCTGAGACCATATGCAACATTCTAGATGTATGCTGCTTTGCTAGTGTAAAAACAAGTGAGATTGAGTCTTAACTGGTATGACAGAAGTTTCTGATGCCAAAAGTCTCTAAAATTTCCCCAGACTGGTCAACTGTAGCAGATTGTTGGGCAGTGCCCACTCAGGTGACTGCTGACTTGCAAGCCTGTAACACAGCCCTTGTTGGATTTCTGCGTGCCACATTTATGGCAAAATACCTTTGTGTGGTTTAACACTTTTTAGATGCAACAGGAGAAAAGAAGCAGTTGTAGGAAATGGCATTGCTTGAAGCTAGGCCAGCTGTAAGTGGGAAATGTCAGCCTTCTGTTGTTAGTGCAGTCCAGTGCAAGTCTTTCGGCTCTCTGGCAGTAGGGCTCTAGATTGTATGTGAAGCAGAACTGCAGGTTTTTTCTACCTTTTGTAGAGAAGTTTTATCTCCATTGTGAAGACTGACAACTGCTGTTTAAGTTCCCAAGGGACATCTTTACGCTGATGTTTCAAAACTAGTATTGCTTGTTAAAAATAGTTGAATTAATTAAACTGTGACACCAGAATTGTAATGATCTTTGAAATCAGTTTGCATCATGGAAAGTACTTTTTAGACTACAGGAAGATAGCTGATAGCTGGCAAAGAAGTTTAGGCCCTACAGCTTGTAACTTCTTCAGGTGGAGTTATTTGGCCTGCTTTAATACTCAGAAGTTATTCCAACTAAACATTGATTTATCTGTGTGATATTCTTGGTGTGATTTGATTTGCTGCTGTCACAATTAGATTGTCATTTAGAAAAGAAATGTCTGTTGGTTAACAGCGTGAAAAGGGAAAGGGGTGTGAATTAGTCTAAATAGCATTTAAACAGCAAAAGGATGATGTTGATTATATGCAGGGGTTTGAGTTGAGAAATGTAAATCTTGCTCTGTTGTGCCCTCTCAGGCTTATTTTTTTTCATCTTTATAGTAGAGAAGGTCTTTCCTTCGTATCCAGAAATGCTTGATGTATTCTGAAATCATTGTAAGAGTCATGAGCTAATGTATCGTCTGCATGTTCTTTGAATGTTTCTTTGGACAGTCAAATAGGAAAAAACATGCAGTAATGATTTCTGAACCTTGGCAATCTGTGTGGGGGAAGAAAGGGAGTTTACAAAACAATTTAAAAGAAAAGACAAAAGTTGTATGAGGAGAGTTGGCTTCAGAGCTAGGACTAAACGGACAAATCTTTGGTGAATTAGTGGCAGGCCCTTGCAGGCCAGATCTTCCTCAAATGCAAAAGTCTGATCTAATAGTAATGCTTAGCCTTTCCATAATCTTTTTCCTCTCACTCTGCAGATCAGGTTACGGTTGGGCGATGGGCCGTTGGAATGAGTGCAGATTACGAAGAAATTACAGAAACACCAAAGCTGCAAAAAACAAAAGTGAAAGTACCCAAAGTTGTTACTTTTTGAAGGCCTCTTGGCTTTATACAGCAGTTAGCCTGCACTGCTTCACTCCAGAGCAGCAACTACACAGACTGGATTGCTGGTTCCAGAAATACCAAGCAGGTTGCTGTTGCTAAATTATAATATTTTTTTTTTGTCCCCCCTCATTTTTCCAGTTTGCCTCCCAGTCTCACCTAGCTTACTGAAACGCTGTGAACAACAGAAATATATCAAGTGGGTATTTTATTTTTATATATCTCTGCCAAAATACAGAACTCCCTCTGATTCACATTCCCTCTCACTGCCAGCTCGTGGAAGAGAGAAACTTGGCTTCTTCTCGCAACAGGATTTGGTTCCATTTTATCACAGGGGTTTATGACCACAGAAGTTTGGTGGTCGGTATTGTTACCTTAAGAGTGCTGCTTTTACTGATCAGATAGGAACACAATCATGCTGATCTTACTGAGAGTATTTATTTCTCTGAAAGGGATTGTGGGTATTTTCTGAAGAGTCTTGTTGGGTTCTGGTTTGATTGTGCCTTCTCCTTTTAGAAAGAATTTATTTCTTCCCCTGTATGTGCCAGCTCGAGCAGTCTCGTGGTGAAGTTATCAGGTAAACCCTACAGCCTGTAGAGCTGGGGGGTGCAATTCCCCCTGCTCATGGTAGGTCGGGTAAAATATGTACATGCATTAACCCGATGGTTGATGGATGTTGGATTGTTTCAGTATTTGTTCACTAATAGAAACAGAATCATGTCCTTCCTTAGATTCCCATGGTGAAATACACCTGAAAAGAGTTGGAGAGCAACTGAGCAGCTTGGTTAGGTTCTTTACTTTTTTCAAGGAAAGTCCTCAAAAATATTCAGTGTTTCTGTCCTTTGGTGAGTTGTGAGTAAACTTTGCATTGTATTACACATGCCTGCTTAATGGCAGATCTGTGTATTTTTAAACAGAGGCTGCAGCCTGAAAAACTGCAGCCTTAGAAAAACTGATACATATTGAAGTTGCAAAACCAACTTAAAATTGAGTTCCTGCAACAGCTTTCCAAATACTGTAGTCACTCAGCCTGTCCAGCCAGCGGAGGTGGGCTTTAACTTGTGTCTGGTCATCTCACCTGAGATGAACAAGGAAGCACAGCGTTACTGGAGCAGTGCACCTCGAGCTCATCCAGTGTGTGGTGCTTCGTTCTGAACCGGCGCTGTGACACAGCTCTGGCCAGGTGCTGTGCAGCATCTCTGCGCAGTGCTCCACGCTGCTCTGTCGGCGTGGGCCTGCACGCACCTGCAGCGTCAGGCTGCTCAGTCCTCTGCTGCAGCTGTGGTGGCCATCGGACAAACACAGTACTTCAGTGTCCCCAAAATCTTAAATGTGCCTTCTGAACTCTTCAGCTTGCGTTATACAGTAATAAGCAACAGTCCTTGAGGGAAAGCTATGCAGTGGTAAAGCTATTGCTTCTAAAGAATTAATTTACCCTGTCAATAAAAGTGTCCCAATGGTCCATACCTTGCCTTGGTGAGAACACAGAAGGAGCACCAGAGAGCAAACGAGCTCAGGACTGGGTTTTGAGGTGCTTAGGACCAGCCATGGAAACTGTAGGTTTGGAATGTACTTCTCTGACAGTAAAAAAAAACAAATACAGGAATTTAATTGTCTGGATATATTTTATATTTGTATGTGTTAATTATTTTCAGTAAAACGCTGCTAAAGAATACAATAGTTGGAGCTCTTAGTTTAGGCTTCCTGGTTCTGCTTTGGTTACAAAGGCATGTTATGTTGACTAAGACAGAGCATGTATATTGAGTTTACAATAATCAGAGCACACATTTAAATGGGGAAGAGGAGTTGATGTGGATGAAATCAAGGATTAATTACAGATTTTTTATTAACTATTGGATTAAAGCTCAAAGCAGTATCACTTTAATGTGGATGTTTTGCAACAGACGTTTATCCGACCTTAAAAAGTGTTTGCCTTTCTATTCTACGGATAAGTATATTGTTTTAAAAGGATCTTTTTAGATAATTTCCTGTCTTTAAAAACTTGATACTGCAACATGATCTTTTACCATAGCAACTTGCAGCTGTGCACCTTGACTTTCCTAGTGGTACCAGTACTTCCCAGATAAGGGGTTGGTGCCGACAGTGTGGTGTGCGAGTTGTTTCAGAGCACAGCCTGTCGTCCTGAAGAAATGGCTGCTGCAGGTCTGTGGCTCTGAGCAAGACTTGGTCACCCACTTGTGCTACTGCAATCTGAGGCAGAAGTGCCCCTTTGACATACTGCAAAGTTGTATGATGTGTATGTAAGTTGAAGGAAAAGGGAATTCACTGTTGCCTTCTTGCAGCTGATCACAACCTTCTGCTTGGTGGATGGTTTATCCAAACCAGGATGACTGGGAGGGCAAAAGAAGTCCCACCAGAAGTGGTGGATTAACCTTTGTTCTCATAATGGTGGAGCACAAGTAGGACATGCTACTACCCAGGTTGCCTGCCTTCTGAGCCCAGCCTTCTCTTCAGTCCTTGTGCTCCCCTGGAGGTCAGCAAGCCTAACTGCCATCACTGGATAAGACAGCCTTGAGTTGCATACTTGTTGCTTTGATCCATCTTGCACTATAAAAAAACTTGTCAGGCTCCTACACCTGACTACTGCTCTTGTCCTCTGAGAAGCAATAAATTGACTTCTTCAGACTTAGAAAATCACAGGGTACGATCTCTGTGAGAATGTCAGTGTCAAGGCTGCAACTGCTTTCAGGTCATCACATGTAGTTTGCATGGAGCTGGAACTATGTATACTTTCCTCTTGTCCTCTGCTTCAGTGACTGCTGAGAAAAATGAGGCACTGAAATGCACTGCATTCTCAAAACAGTGGCACAGGTTAGTAATCTTCAGTAACTGTTGGACAAAACTACTCGTTAAATGCACCCACTAATCTCTTTTTAGATGATTTCACAAAGGTATGTGAAGCTCAAGCAAGCTATTTGAAAAGCAGCTGTAAAAGACACTGCATGTAAAGATGCATCGTACCCACAAAAAAATGTAAGTTGGGCAAATAACTACAAAGTTTAAGCAAAGTTTGTTCGCCAGAAACCTGAATCTCCTTGTCTTAGACATTCCACAGAGGTTGGTAAAATACAATCCTTGGTCTATGTCAAAAAGAGATTTTCCCCCTACACCCCCAAAGATGCGTGGTGGCTGCATCTGGAACGTGGCCCAGCTCTGCAGGGCTTTGTCAACAATGGTCTCAGTGTTGGAGGCAGGGGACAAAACCTCTCATGTAGGCATGGGTGCGAGCTCAGGAGAATGCTAATATTCGAAAAATGCCAAAAAACGTTCCCCAGGTAACCTTTGCACTAGCCCCACACTTGAGCTCAGTGTGTGTCTCTAAAAGCAAGTTACAATCTGTGCTGCATAGGAAGCCACCCTAATAGCAGGTAGGAAATGTGTGGTGCAGGCAGCACTTGGGCTCTTTCTCCCTCCTGTGTCAAGCATGTATTCAGAGCTGAACATTAGGTGTCTCTGTCCACTAAAGACGGACCACACAGACTTACTGCCCACTCAAGAGCTTGTCTGCCACCTTCTGTGCACAGCAAGTGTGGGCAGGACTCGGAGAGGTGAGCTCCTTGTCCGTGGCGGGAGCCTGGACCCTCCTGTCACCAGTTGAGCCAGGAGGAGGCAGGCAGGGCCTTGGTGGCTTTCATGCTCTGGAGGTGGCTGCGCCAACGCTGCTGTCCTCACTCCTAGGCTGAGGTGTTGCACCTTACCCACATAATAAAAATGATGATCCAAAATCAGGATCTGGATGTATAATCTCTCTGCCAGAGCCAAAGACCAGGACCTGCTTTACTTTTTTTATTACTAGTGCAAAGGCATCCATATGTTGTATGGCACACAGTGTCCAGCCTTTGCTAGATGTAGAAGACGGCAGCTGATGTCACTAATGCTTTGGTTCAAGGCTGTACCCAAGCTAATCTAGCTGAGAGACCGGGTGATGCATGGGGCTAGTACACCCAGAGGGCTTCCAGGACTCCAGTCGCTTCTGCTGCACTCGGTAGACATGCCTTATGCAAAAAGTGCAGGCATGCTGTCACCTGTAAATCACTGATGAAGGCTTTGATTTAGTTATAGGTTAAACTGAAGATAGGTTTAAGTGGGAACCAGACCAGAGCCCTAGAGCTCTCGCTCTACCAATTACAAAACTAGAGTAAGGTAAAATAGCATTGCTACAGTTCACATGCTTTGATTCTCTTAACGCCCCTGCATTCTTGTTACAATCCAACTGCTGACGATCACATACTTGTTTTTCTGAAGAAGGCTCTTTTGAGCAAAAATAAAAGCAGAAAACAAAGTAGACATAGCACAATAAAAGCTCTGAAACTGTTCTCCCTTTTAATCTGTGAGGGAGTGGATCCAAAAGCCTTACTGTTCTACATTTATTCAACTAGCAGAACAGTCTTGTATAGAACTTGCCAGCAGGAGGTCACAGCACTTCTGTAAGAGGCCAACAGCCCCCATCATCACTACAATGCAGTCTTTCTGGGATAATATCTGAAGCCATTCCAGAGATACCAAAAGAAAGTGTATTTGTAACCTCAGAAACAGTAATTTATTGGAAGTCACAGATAAACGATAAGTCTTAACAGATAAAGTACAAACACTAACTTACATGGGGTGTAATCTATTTTATGTAACGGGTGTGCAAGAACCTGGACAACAGGTCAGAGCACTGGATAAGCTACTTAGTAGCATCACTTCTCTGCAAATTACACAGGGTGGTATTTACTCATTTAAAATTGACTGGACACCATTGCATTCAATGTAACTTCAGCGCAATAGTCTCATGAGCTACAGTTCTACTAGGCCAAGTTCCACCTCCATTTAGATAAAATTAGTTAATGCAATCAAGAGCAGAATCTGTCCCTTTTAAATTAAAAAATTAATTTAGAGCCTAAGGCCTAAACTTATTTTGATATAAAACGATTGTACTAGATACTCTTGAGCTCAAACCCAATATTGGCTGCATGATCCAAAGTAACT